TATTCTCCCCCCAATGTAATAGTATATACTCTGTTACTCTTCAAATATGCATATGTTTAATTATTTTCATTGTACAAAAGAATGCCTTTGAGTATATGGAAATGAAATGAGACATTAGTTTTTATTTTGGAGGTGTGGAATTAGATCCAGAATATCAGGAGTGCTGTATTTTGATTACTCTCCAATTGTCTGACTACTCAATTTAAAAAAAATAGAAGACAGTATTTTATGTAATGATATACTAAGAGCTAGCTAGTCTTGATTCTATAAAAGTGAGGGTAATGCATTTGGTTGCAGTAAACTTCAGTAATTGGTGATACAACAGTTTGCAATTTCTATTCTTAGAAAAAAATTATTTTTTTCATTCTGATTTCCATTAACTTTCTTTTCAGATTCTTTTCATACTAGCTGTCAGATTCAGTTAAGAGTCTAGCAGACCTCATAAATTGGGATGTCATGAGTTGAATATTAGACTACGTAAAAGGATAGATCAGCAAAATAAGAAAAAGAACAGAAACCTGCCTCATTACCAGTCACTCTGCATTTCCCAATACTCCTTGCCCTGGCAACCATTAATCTCTATTGATTTGACTGTTCTATGTGTTTCATTGTAAATGAAACCATAAAATACGTGGTCTTTTGTTTCTGGCTATTTTTACTTACCATTAGTTTTATTTAATGTGATGTTTTCAAAGTTCAGCCAAATTTTAATATACAGCAGTACTTCATTACTCTTTATGGCTGAATAATATTCAGTTGTATGGACATATCACATTTTGTTTATCCATTCATAAATTGATGGACATCTGGATTATTTCCACTTATTGGCTATTATGAATAATAATGTTATAAGTATTCATATAGCCCAATTTTTAGTTCTTGGCTATATATGTTCTAGGAGGTGAATTGCTGGGTCATGATAATTCTATATTTAACTTTTGGAGAACTGCCAAACTGTTTCTAAACCAGCTACGTATGAAGATCAAAATTTCCCTACAGCTTGCCAACACTTGTTGTTATTCATGTTTCTGAGTACAGCTGTTGCTGGCGAAGTGGGGTTCTTGAAATGTAACAAGGGAAGCATTCCAGGAGACCCCTGTATGGGAGATTTGGGCATGCTAAGATTTGTGGTGCCAGGTGCAGAATCAAGGTGTACCCCTGGGCTCTCAAAGTCTCATCACCTTCCATTTAATCATGGAAGAAGTCCAGTCTTCTCTTCATCAAGCCAAAAACAGGCCAAGGTCCAAAAGTTCTGTGCCATCAGCAGTCTCAGCCCCCATCTAAGTAGCTTAGAACTGTTCCTGGCTGTGTCGGAAGCCTACAGTTGGAGTCCACGTGGCTGTTGGCTGTGGGGCTGCTAGGGTCAAATGGTTTCTACTCCCCTGATCTTTGAAGTTACATGTCCCAATCCAGTCCAGTATTTTCCCCAGGCTAGACTGATAGGGCTCTGTGGTTGCCGTCTTTGCTCCTATTGCCTATGTGCTTACCTTCCCCTGTAGTCTGGGCTAGTGGACTAGGGAGATTGAAAAGTCAGTTTTTCCTCTTTGTACAGGTAGGGAGAGGTATTAATCCCCTTGGCCTGGCAATATGTGACCCCTCACTTGGGGTTTATGAAGCTGTAGCTTTTTGGTTGAGCAGGTTTATGCTCCCTAATTAATTATGCATAATGTCTGATTTCCTTTGCTACCTCCTTTATTAATATTTAGCTACCTATGCTAACATAGCTATTGTAGTGGTTAGGAAATCATATCTCATTGTGGCTTTGATTTGCACTTCCATTATGGCTCATGATGATGAGCGTCTTTTCATGTGCTTATTAGTCATTTGTATATCTTTTTTTTTTGAGACATGTCTATTCACATCCCTTGCCTTTTTTTAAAAAGATTTTATTTATTTATTTTTAGAGAGAGGGGAACGGAGGGAGAAAGAGAGGGAAAGAAACATTGATATACAGAAACAAGAGATACATCAATCAGGTGCTTCTTGCATGCCCCTAAGTGGGGACCCAGCCCACAACCCACCTTGCCTATTTTTAATTGGGTTATATTTCTTTTTATAGTTGAGCTCTAAGAGTTCTTTCTAGATTCTGAATACTAGTACCTTGTCAGGCATATAGTTTTCCAATATATTTTTCACTCTGAAGATTTTTTTAAAAGATTTACTTATTTATTTTTAGAGAGAGGAGAAGGAAGGGAGAAACATCAGTGTGTGGTTGCTTCTTGAGTGCCCCCTGCCAGATACCTGGCCCACAACCCAGGCATGTGCCCTGACTGGGAATCGAACTGGCAACCCTTTGGTTTGAAGGCTGGCACTCAATCCACTGAGCCACACCAGCCAGGACCTGTAGGTTTTTTTCATTGTCATTTGAAGCAGAAAAGTTTTGAGTTTTGGTGAAATCCAGTTTATTTTTTGTTGTTGCTTTTGTTTTTGGTGTCATAGCTAAGCAGCAATCGATTACTCCAAGATCATGTTTTCTTATAAGAGTTTTTTAAATTTTGCTTTTACATGTAGTGTTTTGGCCTATTTTGAGTTAATTTTTCTATATGATATGAGATAGTTATACTGTTTCAATCTTTTGAATATCCAGTTGTCCCAGCACCTTTTGTTGAAAAGACTATTTTCCCCCATTGTGTTGTCTTAATATCCTTGTTAAAAATCATTGGACCATCAGTGTAAGATTTTATTTCTGGACTCCAAATTTTATTCAGTTCATTTATGTGTCTGTCCTTATTCCAGCATCACTCTGTCTTATAACTAACTTTGTAGTAGGTTTAGAAATTGGAAAGCATCAGTTCTCCAGCTTTATTCTTTTTTAAAAATTGAGGTGTAATTGAAAAATAACCTAGTTATTAGTTTCAGGTGTACAACATAACGATTCAATATTTTATAATTGCAAAATGGTCACTACGGTAAATCTAGCTGATGTGTCATCATATCCATAATTGCAAATTTTATTTAATGTGGTGAGAACTTTTAAGAATTAACAGTAGGCCCTGGCTGGTGTGGCTCAGTGCATGGAGTGCTGGCCTGCGTACCAAAGGGTTGCTGGTTTGATTCCCGGTCAGGGCACATGCCTGGAAGGAATGCTGGAGGGGCAATGGTTGTACTGGGTGAAGGGGAATAAAAGGGAGGGAAAAATGAGACAACTGTAATAACATAATCAATAAAATGTACTTTTAAAAAAAGAAGCTATAGACTAGTCCTAGAAAAAAAAGCTAAGAGAACTCTTGAAATATAGTTATTTCCATAAGAGAGGAATATAGAGAATCTAAGAGAATAGAGAAGAGATAGCAGGCATCTATCTTTTCTCTTGAGAGAGTAGAGCAAATGGGAAACAGTCTTGGAAAATTCCATAGATGAGACATCACTAAGGATTTATTATGAATATCATAGGAAAGATAATACACAACGGAGAGTTTAAAGTACTATCTATATAGTGTTACTATTTAACTTTATTCTGAAATCTTCCATCGAGTGTTAGAGCAGTCCAAGAAATTCATTGATGTTTACCTTAATTTGAGTTTATTAACAAATAGTTTATTTTCTCTCTCACTCCCAGGTAAAAGAGTTTTGATTTTTTTTTCAGTTGGCTTTTTCTAATTTATTTTTTTAAAGACTTATTTATTTCGTTTTAGAGAGAGAGGAAGGGAGGGAGAAAGAGAGGGAGAGAAACATCAATGTGGTTGCCTTTTGTGCGCTTCCAGCTGGGGACCTAGCCTGCAATCCAGGCATGTGCATTCCTGGATTGGGAATTGAACTGGAGACCCTTTGGTCCATAGGTCGGCACTCAGTCCACTGAACCACACTAGCCAGGCTTCCAATTATTTTTTGTTATAAAAGAAATTGTGTACTTTATTCATAAACAAACTTGAGTAGTTGGAAGTACATAAAGTAAAAAGGTGTTGTGTGGTTTTTTTGGTTTGTTTTTTTTATTTTTAATGAGTGAAACCAAAAAGATCTAAATCTGCAGTTCTTTTTTTTTATGATGTATGATCCCATTTATCAAAAATGATTAGGTCTAAATGTCTATATGTGGAAAAAGCAGAAGGGGGGAATTGGATATATATTTACCAAATTATGAAACGCAATTGTCCCGCTAACAGATTGGGTTTATTATTTCTTCCCTTTTAATATTATTCTTTATAGTGTTTGAATTTTCTTTCTTTTTTTTAGTTATGAAAGTATTTATTGTCTGTAAAATAAAATTATTTTTCTTATGTCTGATTTTTCTTGCTTTTTTTCTTTTTTTAAATTTTATTTAGTTATTTTTCAAGTACAGTTTTTTGTCTATTTCTCCCATCCCAGCCCCCCCGCCCCCACCTCCCTCCCATTTCCTCCCCCCTAGTCCTCATCCCTTTGTCTTTCATACTTGTTCCTCAAAATCCCACCCCCCCCCTTTTTCCCCCTTAAATTCCCTTCCCTCTCCCCTCTGGTCACTGCCCACTTGTCCTCTATTTCACTGTCTTTGTTTTTATTCTGTTTGCTTGTTTGTTTTGTTATTTAGCTTCCTGTTAAAGGTGAGATAATATGGTATTTGTCTTTCAACACCTGCCTTATTTCATTCAGCATAATGCTTTCCAGTTCCATCCATGTTGTTGCAAAGGGTAGTAGCTCCTTCTTTCTCTCTGCTGCATAGAATTCCATTGTGTATATGTACCACAGTTTTTTGATCCATTCATTTACTGATGGGCACCTAGGTTGCTTCCAGCTCTTGGCTATTGTAAATTGTGCTGCTGTGAACATTGTGGTGCATAGGTTCTTTGAAATTGATGTTTTAGGATTCTTAGGATATAATGCTAGCAGTGGAATTGCTGGGTCAGAAGACAGGTTGATTTTTATTTTTCTGAGAAAATTCCATACTGTTTTCCATAATGGTTGTACCAGTCAAACTGCAGTTCTTTGATGAATCATTTGTTCTTGCCAGTCTTGTACCTCTCTTTCAACTTGTTCTTGGTCTCCCACTGGGCCTTGAGTCTCAGAGTAGGGCCTCTGAAGATCTCCTAGTTGACAACAGTTTTGTCCAAGGGGATATCCCTACAGTACCTTGTGGGCATGAAATGATTATAGTCAGAAACTTTCACAAAAGACTTGATCTTGGACCTCTTGGCAGTTTTCTTCTGGCCAGTGGCAGCTGTCACTTTGCAGGGATAGTGGTCACTTCCAGGCACCAGAGCATGAATATAGGGATGGTCTGAAGTGCCATCTTCAGTGTCCATCAAGATGACCACTTTGCTTCCGGAGTAGCATCTGGCCAGGACCAGTACCACCTTCTCAGGTTTCATAAACTTGACCATTTTGACAGCAGCCACAGAGGCCTACAGCAGAAAGGCTAAAAAAAAAAAAGAAAGTTTGCCATTTCCCCTTTTTTCTTTAACCTTACTTCCCCAGAAAAATAAGCCAAACAACAAAATGCATGAATACATACTATACGCCTACAGATGTCTTGCTTTAAGTAATAAACTCAGTGTTCTTAGTTTGCATTGAGAACACTTCATAGCATATATCAAGTATACTTTTTCAGTTTTACTTTTATTAAGATGCTCCAAGCTCTAACCAAATGAATCATTTTGCTGGATCCTGTTATGATTCACATGTCCTTCATTATTTCTTTATGCATAGAATGCCCTTCCTATTCAGCCCCATGAGTTCATGTCCAAAGTCCTTCCTCTCCTTGAAGGTCATTTCAAATAATATGTCCTCACGCATTTCTTCTTTCTCCACTTTCATGCCTTTTTGAGCTTTGAAAATAATTTTGTGTTTCTAAATTGCCATTATACTTTGTCACTTCATTTTCAGAACCTAACATTGTCTACTTTGCGTACAATTATACAGGTGTGGGAAAAGTTGGTTTACAGTCGAAATACAAATAATACAATAATTAGTAAATAATAATACAAGAAGAAACTGTTCCACATGTAACTGGAAACCTACTTTTGCCCAGCCCTGTATATTTAGTTTTGTGTGCCCTGGATTATGCCGACAGTTCTGTTAGAGCAGTACTATCTGTATTTAAGTACTTATTTATAAAGCCTGTACCTATTTACTGAATACATGTATTTTAGACATGATGTATTATTAGTCAATGGAAATACTGATTTTAAACTGTCTTAGGAAGAAATTAGAGGCATATCTGTGAATTGAAAATTGAACTTTTGGATTGGTTAATGATTTTGAATGTCTGTCTGAGGCTTTTTCTTTTTTTAGGAAACAAAGGTTATGATGAGTTGATCAGTTCTTAAAATTTAAGCTAAAATCTTTAAAAACTAAAGCTGTGAGAACAAGGATGTAGATAAATAAATACCTCAAATATTTTAATAGCATAGAATTTTAGGAGCGGTTCTATGACTTTTTTGAAGGAAACTTGTCACTATCATATTTGCTCAACATAATTTAACATATGTGCAAATAGTAATCACCATAATCTTTCATTTATTTATTTTTCAGAGAATGCAGAGTCTATCGATCTTAAACAATTTTTTGACCAACATTTTTCACATATATATTATGTGTTCTTTGAGAATTTTGTGACTATTGAAGCTAGCCTTAAACAGAAAGGTAAGATCAATTCTGGTTTATGTTGATGTTTCAAATAATTGTCATACATGTTCATTTAAAAATAGACTCTTGGACTGTGGAATTTTATTAGTATTGCTTCCTTTTTTAGTCAAGTAGCTTTTTAAAAAAATTTAACCTTGATTGTATTTTTTTTCTATTACCATTGAGTCCCCTCATACTCCAATCCCCACACTGTTGTCTATGTCCATGAGTCCTTTTTCAGTCACGTAGCTTTTAATAGCCTGCTCACAACTGTGGGTTAATAGTACTATTCTTACTACTTTGAGTAGGCTTAGGAGATTCGTCTTGTTCCTGGTCAGGTTTACTTGTTTCCTTTCCTTTGCTCTCCCCTAGGAGCATTTGTCAGGTTTCAGCAGTCATTTTCAGAGTTCATTTAAAACTTCTCTTTAATATATTATGATTTGTTTTTAGACATAAATATGTATAAATTTAATTGTTGAGAAAGAGTAGAGAGAGATACTCTAATATTGTGTTCACGTTGAACAGAATACTTTAAATATTTTATTAAAAATCCCTGAGAAAAAACTTTAGTGGTAGAAGTATTTTAGGCTATTTAAGTGGTTGTTAACAATGAAGATAAAAAGGTTATGTTTAAAATATTTTTCTGTAAAAATGTTTTAGGTCACAAGTCTCAAAGGGAGGAATTGGATGCTATACTTTTTATTTTTGAGGTAAGTACCAGGTAGTCTAACTTTATTTTTCTAAAAATAGTTCTTGGAATATACAAAAGAATATATTGAATTATAAAATATATAATATCTGCTGTGCTTTTCAAAAACTAAATCACCGAATCGTGTTTTTTTTTTCTTTTTAACCTGAAAATATACCTGATTTAATTCTTAATTATTTTTTTGAGGTATGTATACTATTTTCACATATAAACACAATTATGTTTTTATGCATTTGACACCAGAAAATTGGTACTGTATTTAATATGTTTACAAACAATTAAAATTTTAATTTAAGGGAGGTTTATACAAATGGAGAACTTTGTGTTTTTAAATTCAAAAACACTTGAGGATAATGATACAGCATAACAGAGGAACTGTTATATACCTAAGGAATTTATAGTTTCTGCTTTAACTGCTTTTCATTGCAAACGTGTATAAAATAGTATTAAATAGTTTATAAATTGTTCTGCATTGCTTTGGATGGTTGTGGGATAAGTCTTTATTGCTAAATAAACAAGGAAACAACAATATTTGATACTTCACTAACATTTCTCTTTTATTTCCACTACAATAATAAAAACTAGGGTAAGCCCTCATCTGCTCCCTATCCCGCAGGAATCTGCTTTTAAAATAATTTCTTGTCCTTTGTCCTGTCTTTGAAATCAAACAGTGATAGCAGTTTTCTACTGTTTATCAAGAATTTAGAAAGTGGAGAAAACCAGGATTAGACTTTGTGACTTGAAAGGCATAGTAAGGAATTTGGAAGTCACTTCCTAAAGATTTAGCTGTTCTTTGTGCTGTGAATTAAAGAAAACTTACTGTTTTGTATTTTGATGCAGTTTAGAAGAATTCAAGCAGTCTGATTAATACCTCTCTTAACTGTTGATTTAGCTATGATTTAGTCACAGCTAAAAAAAGATAGCGTGGGTTTTTTGTTGTTTTTTTTAGAGTTTCAGATAGAAGTAACTGGTGTTGGTATCTGTTCTGCATTTATTGTCATTAGTTATTAACCCTGAGGAATTTGCTTATATTTACCTCCCAAAGTGTTTGCATGAATTGTTTGTAAGGCAGATATTAAAACACAGATGTTTTGAGAAAGATTAAAAGTAGCCACAGAGAAAAGCGAGATAATAATTGCTGGAAATCTTCCTTCAGACATTCATGCTTGCTGAATTCAGGAAACTGAAATGATTGTTAAGTTAATCAGGGTGTTCTTTCTATTAATAATATTTATTTTTCTATGTGTAATACATACTCATTAGTTACTCTTTTAACAGTAATGTGTGTCTTTAATGAATCACTAAATTTTATTAGAAAAAAAGATGCTAGATACAGGTTTTTGTCTTTTGGAAAAAAAATTTGGTGATGTTTTCTACCTATAACAGGAACAATAAATATGTACCTTTAGAGACTAATGGTGATTTTTTTAATGAAAAATTATAAACAAAGTGATTTGTTCTTTCTGGAATAAAAAGCTTTATTATGTAATAATAATATGCCATTAGACTTATATTCTGTTTGCAGTTAAGAGTACACACAATTAAATTAATTTTTATATTAACCACATAAAAACATATAGACATGTTTATTTACATTTTATAAGGGGTTAAATCTAAATAATAATTTCATGTCATAATTTAGGAATGCTTTTGAGTAGTCGCAAATTTGTCTTTTCTACTTTCTGTAATTTTATTTTTCTACACCAAAATAAATATAATTATACAATTGTTGGCTAGCTGTGGAAGAAATATTAAGAGGGCAAAGGTAAAGAAGTTTATCTCATGTGGGACCAGCATTTATCTGTGAAGAACTTTGTAATTTCTTCATCATCTCTTGTTTGAGATGGAGTAAAGAAGATCATATCAAACAAAGGGAAGATAGAGAAGCATAAAACATGCATAATATCCTTTGAGCCAAATAGTATATAAAAGTACAAGTTTTAGAAATTGGCATATTGAGGTTGGAATTTTTGTTTTTCTGCTTTTTTGTTTTTGAAAGATTTTTGTAGTTTTTAAAAGAATTTTCATGTGTTTATGTTTAGAGAGAGGAAAGGGGAGAGAGAAAGAGAAGCATCAGTATGTTCTGCTTCTTTATGCATTCATTGGTTAATTCTTGTATGTGCCCTGACCAAGGATGGAACCCACAACCTTGGTGTGTTGGGAAGACACTCTAACTAGCTGAGCTGCTCCGTCAGAGCTATTCTACTTTCTAACCTAAACACAGTACTTTAACCCATTTTCTCATTTGTCGAATAAAGTTACTAAATTCTTTTAGGATAGTTGTAAGAATTAATAAGATACCATTATATAAAGTGTCTAGTTTTAAATAATAGTAGTAGTAAGAGCTGCAGTAACACCACACACACACAAATGTACAGTAAACAGAGTACTGAGAGCTTAGTTCAGCAGCATAGTGCATACAGCAACCGTGAGTGCAGAATAATCCACACATATGCAGTATGTTAAAGGCAAAATTCTGAAAGTGTTATATGTAAAAGTTATATGTCCAGTTAATGGAAATATACACACACACACACATATACATACACACATATATAATATTATAGGACATTATAATATAGAATATATATACACACATATATGTGTATGTATGTATATTAACTTAATTTTATAGATCTCCAGAATTTTAAAATTTTGTTTTAAAACCTGTAGTCATTATAGGCATTTCTTTGGGTTCACATGAATTAACTCAGTAGTACAAGTATTTCATGAGATTTTGGTGAAATCAAAATATTTCCTCATGATTTATCAAAACAGGAGAAAGAACTACATGAAGAGAGAAAATGTCACAAATCTTAAAGAATTTAACTCTGAAAGAATTAAGCACTTGCCAGTGATATCCATAATGTAGAAATTCTAAGAATAGTAAATAAGCATTTTGAAATATATTTTCCACATCAGTGTAAAATATACATTTCATTCATTTACGGTTCAAGTCTTTGTTAGTGTAGCTTGTTGTTTTGGGGGGTTTTCAAAAGTTACATATGCCAGTGCAGAAATAGTGCCAGTATTCAGATTACTCGAAAG